GCGCAGAGAGGTGGCGCGGCTGGGAATGGCGGGGTGAATGCCGCCACGTGGAGACAAGCTGCGCCGTCGGGGGAAGCTCCAGCGACGTTGAGAGCCCAACAAGCGCCACCGCAGCTCAAAACGCAGCCTTCGTCGTCATCTCTCTCTTCGACGGCAGCTGCCACTGCTGCTGCATCGACAGTGAAACCGGGTCTCACTGCACACGCACAGGAAAAAGCAAGCTTCACGGGTACCGGCAACACTCCCTTCCGATTTGGCGTTGCAGCCCCGGTCCCGCCTTCGCCTCTCAAGGAGGTTGCACCCGCGCGAGCCAACTTGATCATGCGGAAACGATCTCAATCGCTCACCAAGCCGAGTAGCACTTCTTCAGCATCCTCTTCCATCAACGCCACGACGGAAGCAGCTGCGATCGTGATCCCGGACTCTCGGTCTTTGCACGACCTCACCCCTGCAGCGGTCAAATCGCGACCCCCCGCAGCGGGAGTTCGAATGGGCAGAGCCGAGAGCAACGACCACGCTCCGCTCGGAGACATTGCCCATCACCGTCAAAGTCACGGCGGCAGCGACCCCACCTTCGCCGGCGACCGAGCGAACAGCCGCCTAGCCCGGTTGAGAGCTGGCTACGCCGTCGTCGCACCACCGGCAGCACCGGCGAGGGAGAGAAAGGACAGCGGCAGCACCAGCGAAGGAGCACGAAGCGTCATCACAGCGAATGCAGCACAGAGGCAAGCAACGGCGGCGATGGCGTTGGAAAAGGGACCCGAGCTGAGGCCCTTGGATTTCGAGGCTCTGAAGACCAAGGATGAGGTCGCGGCATGCTTGGGCAGGACGGTGGATGATCTAGGGCGGTGGTTGGATGTGGTCAGTTTTGGGCTGGGGAGAGCTGTGAATGGGGATGTCTGAGGGGTGCCCTAACTTAATGGACATTCGTTTTTGCTTCAAGATAGCTTGTGAGTTTGAAGCCGGGCTGTGTAGTGGCTTGGGCGGTCGGCTGCCAACATCGCACGACGGTGATGTTGTCTCACCAGATTATTGCTTCTCATCACTTCTCACCAGGTCAGCTCTTCGATCTTCGTCCACATTAGCTTTTTGTTTGATGGCTGATGGAGCATCTAATGCTTGTTGCAGGATGCGGGTTGCTGCAGTGGCTGGAATCGTCAAGGAGTTCGTTGCAATGTTCGTGTATATAATCTAGAAATAGCCCTGAACCATCGTGTCACCCCGTCTGTCGCTGCATCATCAACGCCAACCCACCCAGCATCACCCCCCGTATCGCCCCTCGCATCCCCATCACCACCACTGCATCCTCCTCATCCCCTTCATCCGAATGGTTTGGAATATCCAACCGATCCGGAAACACAAAGCTGAACACCAACACGACCACGATCAGCACCAGCACGGCGCTCACCGTCCAGATCGTCCACGACGCCATGCACTGGAACCTTGCCCTACTCCGTGCGCGTCGTCGTTCTCTGCGTCGGGCGACCAGGTCGGTCGTATAACTCGGCAGCAGATGCGGGCCTGCGAGCTGGCGGTAACCGTAGGGATCTTCAGGATCGGCAGGGATAGGCAAGGTTCCGTAGGCAGTGGTGTTGCCATTGCGTCGTGCAATGTCGTGGATGATACTTTGGGTGATCCGATCGTCTTCCTGTTCCTCGCGGTTGAGCTGTCGTTCGTAGGGTCCGGCGAAGATGGCGGTGAGCAGACGCTGCCACGCCGCATTTATGGATGATAGCCTCCAACCGGTGCTGCTGTGACCATTCTGCGCGGCATCGACAGACGCTGTTCCGCCGGTTCTCCTCCTCGGAGTAACGGGATGTGGAAAAGGGAAACTAGTCATGATCTTGCTATTCCGCCTCTTACCCTCCCCATCACCGCCATCCTTCTTACCCTTGGTCCTTTGCACTCCATCCTTATCCACAGCACTTGCTACCAACGTACTACCCGTACCGGACCAAACCCCTTTCGCACTCGGATCGCTCGGCAACGCCAGATACACCGGTCGTCTCTGCGGTGCCACCTCCTCGGCGGTATACCTCGAGCTCAACCTCGAGCTGGTCCTCGAACTCGTCGAACCGACAGAGGCTCTGCTCGGATCGATCTCTTCATCGTTCCTCGAAGCTGCTGCGCGGAGGATCTGGTTTGCACCCTCGGTGCTCGACCCGGGAAAGCGGGAAACACTGCCGACGTTGAGCGAGTAGCGGTAGGCGGCGGAAGAATCGACGACGCTGCTGCGTCGACTGCTGGGTGCGCTGTTGGTCGGCGTGGGGTGACGTGAGGTTGAGGCGCGCGGCGATCTCGGTTGTGCGGATGTTGCGGGTAGGGACGGCTGGCGCGATGGCTGCGAGGTAGGCCGCGGACGAGGGGCGACAGCGGCTGCAGGAGAAAAGCCAGCGACGTAGGTCGTCGTGGGCGAGCTTCGAGCTGACAACGCCGGCCGCGGCTGCGAAGGTTTGCTCGAGGAAGCAGCACGAAGTTCGGAGCTGGACGATCGACGACCTTTGTTCGATTTCGAAGGTGCTGCAGCAGACGACGTCGACCCACTACTACGGGTGCCACCGGTGCCAGTGTTGCGAGACATCTCCTCCCGCCAAGAGATAAGGTAAATCAGCTCTTTAGCCGAGCAGAGAACCTTTCACGTCAGGACGCCGCCGCTCTATGGTAGACGAAGCATCGGGTGTATCCTTCTTAGAAGAGACGAGTAAAAGTGATGGAGATGCGGGGGGGTCAATGATGGTAACGAACAAAACATGTAAGATGAACGAACGACACTGCTGCTGGCAGAAATGCAGCCCCGCAAGCCCCAAGATTTCTAGAAATTTGCAAACGTGCTGTGCTGGCCGAGGGTCTCCTATCCATGAGAACTTGCCAAGCAGCGCCGATGGCAAAAATGATTATCCGATGCATCATTCGCTCACGCCAAACACTTTCCGCTTTACCGGTTCCACACACACACCTTGACTCTCCATGGTCAAATCTGATGAGCATTCGACCGTCTAGCATTTCAGCTTTTCCCTCGCCATGTACCAAGCAACGGCACGTATCGCCTGGGTGCACCTCTCGACGCTCAGATTCTCGTCCTTCGGCGGCACGTGTACGAACAACACCAACGTCTTGTTCCCGTTGCGCTTCGCCTCGCACAACGAGCAGTAGAACACAAAGTCGCACAGATACCTTCCGGGATCGAACGACTGATCCACCTCTTCCCCCTGCATGCCTGATTGCTTCAGGAACTGGATGAGGGAGGAAACGCCGATGCGGGTGGACTCGATCTCGCCGAACTCCTCGTACCCGGTACCGAATCCTCGAGCCTGACCGTTTTTGTCGAGGTACTTTTCCGGAATTCGAGCGATCTCGCTGGGGGAGAGGTTCAGCAGAGGTGCGAGTTGGTCGTTGGCGTCGGGTTTCGAGTATCCGAGCTTATGCGCTTGCGTCTCGCATCGTAGACTACCTTGTCTTCCCACTCCGACGTGGATCACCACATCCCACGCATCTCCTTCTCCCGGCGTTTCGATCGGATATGCTTCCGGATAGGTCTCCCCCACCTTACCCCCAAACTCCGGATCCAGCCTCTCGTCGTTCCAAACCTTTCCTCTCGAAATCCCACCGTGAATTCGCGGTACAACGTCCAACACAGACCCGTAGTGCACCGGTATCTGCAACGTCTGAATCCTAGCCCTACCATCATCACCACCCCCGCCCTCAGGAATCGCAGCTTCTACCGCGTTAGAGGTGAGATCAGGAGCGGTGGAAAGATCCAGCATCGAGTTGTGCAACGGTCTCACCGCCAACCAGGAAGGATTGTTGCCCACGGACATGAACGGTCCAAACCCGGTGATGAGGATTTCCAGCTGACGCGTGGCTCGACTGTTCGTTGGTGCCATCCTTGTATGGTGGGTCAGAGACCTTCTTGAGAGGAGATGGTGTGAATCAATCAAGATGCTTCTTCCCCCCCGGCTTTGCAAAACAGACCGTGCGCGCCAGGTAATAAAATAGTCGCCGAAATTTCATTTCGCGGCTCGGCTATTCAAACGCCCCTACTGCTTCTCATTGCACAAAACGGTCCCTTCAATACACTGTACACACACTTCCCGCTTTGCATCAAATTATACCCCTGTAGTAGGGTGATACTATCGGCCAAGTGGCTATCTCTACATGTCCTCTTCCTCGTCATCATCATCCCCTCCGAGCAAGTGCGCGTAGTCCTCGGCACTCGCAAACGTAGGCAGGTTCGCCATCGACTTTTTCCGCTTCTTCTTGTCCTTCGCTTTACGGCTCCTCTTTGTGTCAGCAGCATCGTCGTCGTCTTCTTCCGAGTCGGACGACGCGGCACTGCGCTTCTTCGAGTTGAAGTCGGTAAACGGCAAGAGGTCGTCGTCGTCTTCGTCGAAAACATTGCCGGTGTCCGAATCGTCGTCTTTCCAGTCTGCTTCGCCAGCAACTGCTTCTTCCGCTGAGTCGGAATCGTCGGAGAAGGTCATTCCAGGGATGACGTTAGGTCCATCATCGTCGCTCTCTCCTTCTCCTTCCCCTTGCGCATCATCATCGCTGTCGACATAGTCAAACTCATCATCCTCGCCTTCATCGCTGTCGTCGAGCCCCTCCAACTCCTCCTTACCGGGCATGGTGGCCTTCATCACCTTCCAGATCTCCTTCTCGTCCGCATCGTCGTCGCTGTCCAAGCTCGATTCCGCGCTCTCCTCATCGTCCTCTTTCGGTGCGATCACCTCCTCATCACCCGATCCTGCCAGTGCATCCTCTTCGTCAGCGGTGTGGACACGACTGCTCGAAGGCTGCATCGACTTCAAGTTGAAAAACTTGTGGAAGAACATTTGATCCGCAGGGATCGTCTCCGCCCTCTTCTTCCAGAACGCTTCCGTGTTGAAGAACTCGTCTTCGTTCAGAGCGTGCGTGCGTGATCGCGTAACCCCACTTCCTGCAACTTGCGCTTGGGGCTGCATGGCGCTGGCTCCACGGAGCGAGGATTTCTGCTTCGGGTTTCGGTACACGAACCGATCCAAAAAGTGCGAGAGCGTGTTCAGGCTCAAGTCGGCATTCGTGGAGATCTTGCCGCCTTGCAGGAGTTGCAGAGCGTGGACCGAGACCGATGGGTGGAAGTGCGAGATGAGCGGGAGAAGATCCCATAGACAGGTGGAGCCGGCGTGCGCGAATCGTGGCTCTCGTTTCCTGCCATCGTACTTTGTCGATGCATCCCTTCCAGAGGCTGCCTTCCCGGCGAGCTTCCCATCCGCCTCCTCGTCATCGCTCGAAGCCACATCTCGGAAATGCTCCTCCTCGTCATCCTCCTCCGCCTCGGTAAGCATCGCACGCAACCCAGGTGTACGTCGGAACAACTCGCCCAGCAAATGCAAACACCCACAAACAAACGACGGCTGGTGCAACGACATGACCTGACAGATACGCTTGACGAACGCCTTGACGCGCTCCTGCTCCGCATCCGCCTTGAGCGCCTGGAAGATGAGGTTGAGGTACATGGCCTGCTTGCTCGACGACTCGAGCCGCGGGTCGAGCAGCGAATCGTACAGCACCCGGTAGAAGCGGTCCGTGATGGCCGCAGAGGTGAGCACGGCGGACGACTCTTGGTGCGGGTTCGAGATGGTAAGCTGGAAGATGAGTTGCAGAGCCTGGATGCTGATGTTGAACGAACCAGAGTGGAGGATCTTGAACAGCGTGTTGACGTGCTTTTCGAACACGGAGGCTTCCAACTTGGCGAACGGGAACGCACGACGAACACCGGCGAGCACGGCAACGACCATCTTGGACTCGGCATCCTTGACTAGCTTGGGCTCCTCCGGCTTGGCAGAAGCGGCCTGCTTGCTCTTGCCCTTGCCTTTGCCTTTACCCTTGCCCCTCCGCGGCTGATCCTTCCAGCGCTTCTTGTCCTTCTTCTTGGGTGCCTCGTCAGCCTCTTGACCCTCGACGATCCCTTTGGCCTCCTTGACCTCATTCTGCTTGAGGATGCCTTCAAAGAGCTCAAAGTAGAGCAAGATGAGGTGGTTGGCAGTCGCTTCATCCTTGACGGTCAAGACGGTCTGGTTGAGCGTGAGAAGACCGTAGTAGCGCGCGTGCGTGCTGTGATTGCTCGTCTTGGCCGCCTCGTCGTCGTCGTTGTCGTTGGCAGCTGCTACGGGCGTCGGACGCATGATGAGGTTGGCAATCTCGCGAACCACGATGAACTTCATGGCGGGGTGGGCGGTAAGAAGCTCGAGAAGGTGGTTGCTCGTCTTGGCGGCGACGCTTCGATCGGGATCACCGAGCTTGTTGACGAGCAGACGGAGCAAGTTCTGCTCCTGCTCGGGCTTGTCACGAAGCAGGATGAAGGTTTGCGTAGTGGCCTGCTTTCTCGTAAAGGGGATGGTATCGTGCGACTGCACCTCGAGGACCTGGAGGAAGTGAAAGTAGAACTTCTTCAGGTGGTCTTCGAACGCCCACAGCAACAAGTGAGACTTGGCTGCCTCGACCGCGACGAGATCTGCCGAGGCGAGGGCTGCCGAAGCGGCCGCAAGCTGAGGCTGGTCTCGGAAGTAGCGCAGCTTGCGTGAGCCGAGGCCGCCTTCGCTGGCCAGCCAATCCGCAAGAGCACGTGTGGCACGGCTTGCCTCCTCGCGGCTCTTCTTGCGTGTCATGTTGAGCAGGTTGTCCATGTGCTTGACGTTGTGTACAGGACTGCTTTGCACCAACAGAGTCAGCGCTGAGATTCGATCCGAGAGCGTTCCACCGCCTTCGGACGACAGCAGCGAACGCACGAATTGGGCGTCGGAAGCGGTGAGGGTGCCGATGCTACCACCGGCCCTGTTGAGCGAAGTCTCGCTGCTGGTGATATCGTCGTAGGCGCGGCTCTCTTGGCGCAATAGATCGGCACCCAGGTCGAGAAGCTGTGTGATGCGGTCGTGAGAGAGCGAGTTGCTATCGGCATTGCTAGAGGGAAGCTTGGGCAAAGCCTGCGACATCCACTGCGGCACGGCTTGCAATCGCAAAGGGCCAGTGGCGGTAAGTGAAGGCTTATGTTTGGTCTCCTTGCCAACACCCTCGTCATCAAAGACCATCTTCTTCCCCTTACCCATACGCTGTACGGTTGTGCTGTCAGCGATTTGATTCTGTGGGTTGGATTGCTTTGTTGGCTTCTGCGTCTTTGTCTCGCTTTGCTTGTTTGCCTTTTCCTTGGGCGTCGACTTGTCCATGGGCAGCGCAGCCTCGGAGCTCTGCTTCTTCTTTGATTCGGTTTTCTTTGGCGCTTCTACCTCGGCCTTGGCTTGCTTGGTCTTCTTTGCTGGAGTGGAAGTGCTGGCAGGCTCGGAAGAGTTGGGATCCGACTGAAGTTGCTTGAGGAAGGCGGCAACCTCTCCCGAGAAAGCGGCCTCATCGATGGCCACGTCCGACTTTTTCTTTCCGTTGGCTTTGGAGATGAGCTCGAGATCTTCTCTTGAGCCACCGAAGCTCTCGATCTCGCGCATCAAGGTGGCCTCGTCAGCGCTGTCATCCGAATCATATGCGTTCGTCTTCTTGCTGTTGGACGACGTGGGGGTCTTCTTCGGTGTAGGCTTGGAAGAAGCTGGCGCTGGCGCTGGTGCGCTGATTGTTGGCTTCTTGACAGGCGTTGACTTGGCCGAAGCCGCTTGGCCAGCCGTCGACGTGGACGACCTGGCGCCTTTTGGTCTGAAGTCCCTTGCCATTGTGCCACAAGGTGATGATGGTGTGACGAGATGGCAGTCTGTGTGACCGTCAAGAGGGTTCAAAGATCTCTGCCGCTGCTTCGTTCACTTCTCCAAAATTTTAGAAGAAGAGAAAAAAACTGGGCGGGGTCCAACTTTCGGGATTCGGTGTACTGCCACTGGTATTGTTTTTGTTTCGATTGGCAACATAACAACGTTAGCTGAGGAAAATCGCATTCCAGCCCTTGCTGCACTTTGCACCTCGCCCCTTGCACCTCTTCGATCTCAGCATCCGATCTTTCCCTTTGTGCGCAATACATACACAGTTCAAGAAGGCATACTCCAAAGACTACTCCACGAACTGCGCTCACAGAATGCTTTGTGCGAAGACAGGACGATGGCGTCAGGCTCGAGGCTCGACGTGAAGTGCAGGCTCCTCAGACTATCAACAGCTCAGATGTGCTCGCCAAGATCCGACGACTTCCAGCCGCCGTGGGTCTGGTGCGAGTGCCGCCATGGAGTTTGGCTTCGACCTCGTCAAGAATCGGCAACGACGCCGGTGACAGTAGTCTCGTTCAGCGCACTTAGCAGCGACAAGCGCACGCGTGCGCCTGCTCTTTGCTGCAGCTTCCAACCAGACCAGCGGAACAAAGCCAGGCGCGACCGCTGGCAGGAGACCGTCTTCGTCGGCTTGCAGAAACTCAATTATTTTTCGAATCGGACCAAGGGCACAATTCCACTTGCCAAATGCTGCATGAGCTCGGTTAACTCATGCACGTCGAGCAGAAGCCACTCGGGTCGTCTTAGTCCATCTCGCCTCCTCTCCTCCCCTTTCGTGTCTGACGGCCCGTCACGACGCAGAGCTGCTTCCTCAAATGCAAGCGCTGTCCGAACTGCCAACGGACGATCCGAAGCGCTGCTTGCTGCGCTAGGCTGTCATGCCATCGTGCAGAGCGAGGCTCAGAGCTGCGCTTTCCGAATGGTGCTGCTAGAACTTCACTGACTAGCGCTTGCAGCCTTTGACCGCGACTCTGCCTTCCAACCTCTGCTGAGCCTGACCCTACTACAGCATACACCTCAAGTGGCCCTCCGACTCGTCCCCCTTTTCTCCCTTCCTCCCCTCCTCCTTCTTAACCATCACCATCACCCTAGTCTTGACCCACTTCCTCCCCCTTCGTCTTCTTTTACTCCCCCCTTTCCACCTCTGATCCAACAGCGTTGATCGCGTCGGCATCACAGTACAATCGTTCAATCCTTGCCCTTCTCCTCCCCACATCGAGCTATCTCTTTCACAGCATACACCCACACAATGACTTGCGTCAAGACCTTCCTCTTTGCCTTTGTGGCCCTCTCGCTCACCCTCATGACTGTGGCGCAGGCCGCCCAGCCAACCATCAGCCACAACGCTGCTGTCCGTCGCCACCACGCCATGATCGAGGCGCGTCCTGCACGTCGCTCCGTCGCCGTCGGTGACGGCAAGATGATGATGCAGAGGAGGCAGACAGCCGACCAGATCGCCCAGGCAGCTGCCCTCAAGAAGTGGGACGACGACTTTCACGCAAAGAACGCAGAATGGCAGCAGGCTGCCAACGCTGCTCTTGCCAAAGGTCAGACGCCTCCCACCTACGACGAATACTGGAGCGGCAAGTCGAGCGGCTCCTCCTCTTCTGACTCTGGCTCATCCGACCAGTCGTCGGCCGCTCCCGCCCAACAACAACAGCAGCAGCAGCAGCAGCAAGAAGCCACCTCCACCCCCTCGACCAGCGGCTCTTCATCATCGTCGGACAACTCTGGTTCCGAGTCCGACGAGTGCGAAGAGGACGCGACCACCGCGACCGCCCAATCCACACCCGCTCAAAGCTCCACTCCGGCTAAAGGTGCTGCCGCTGCCGCTGCCACTGGAAGCAAGAGCAATGCCGCTCAGAGCAACGCCGGCTCTTCGTCGTCGTCATCTTCGCAGGCAACAACAGGCAAGTTCGACGGACAGGCTACTTACTACGCTCCCGGCTTGGGCGCTTGCGGCTGGACCAACGGCGACTCTGACTACATTGTCGCCATCTCGCACTCGCTCTTTGACTCGTTCGGCACTGGCAACCCCAACAACAATCCCGCCTGCGGTCACAAGATTGCGGCTACGTACGGAGGCAAGACCATCACCGTCTCGGTTGCCGATCGATGCGAGGGCTGCGCCTGGGGTGACCTCGACTTTACGCCTACCGGCTTCTCGGCGCTGGCCGACATGTCCAAGGGGCGTCTGGATGGCCTGAGCTGGTCCTGGATCGGTGGCGCCCCCAAGTAGAGGATGCCCCAAATACATTGAAAACCGGAGGGAAGGAACCGGGAAGCCTCCGACCACCACATCGCTTTCGTTGTCCAGCCGCCGGTCAGCTGGACAGCAACGGCCCCGAGTCGCTGGTCGTCTCGATGCCGTCATTCTTTCTCAATTCTTGAAGTCGCTTGTACATCGCACGCAGTCCACCTTGATGGTAGGACGCGCGATGTCGAGGTGCTCGAAAGTCGCGATCGTTCCGCGCGCCATCCCCTTTTGTCTGTATTTCTACTCACACACTATCCGTCCATCGCATTGTCACCGTTTTCAACCATCCTCCTTTGTCACTCACGGTCCTCCTGCAGCCATCGGTGCGACCTTGTCTTGAATGTGAGATGTTGCAACTTTTGAGCCGTTGTGAACAGGTCAAGAGTTTCGGCTGCACGATGGCTGCAGTGCGAACAATAGAGGTTGCCATGAAAAGCGAGGTTGCCTAGGTGTCATGGGGAAAGGAGGCTTTGGCATGAATTGGATCCGAGAGCGAGATGCCGTCTTTGATCATTGACGCACGTTCAGGCGAATCTCGCTAGATGACTTGAAATGTTTGCATCGGTGAACAGCGGAACAAGGTGCAAAGCGCGGTGAAGACTGTGCCACCACATGGAAAAGCCGTGAACTTGATCGATATCGGTAGCATGTGTCTGTCTTGGTTTTGCTCTCGCTTGAGGCATCGCCTCGCCTCTCGTGCTGCTTTGCTGCGGCTTGCATCTCACACGTCAAAAATCAATTTCTTTGAAACAGAGCGTCGGGAAGGCCGTTTTGACAGCAGATGCCGTTTCCACAAGCGAATTCTGCACGCAGACAGAAGTGGAACGCGGGTCTGCCCCCGAGCCAAAGCCAACCTGAGCGAAAAGAAAAGACTGGGCGACAAAAGTGAGCGAAAGAGAAGGCGCAGCAGCCAAGGTTTTCTTGATCTGTCGGAGAGAGCGAGCAAGAGAGTTGAAAGCGACAGCCAGTTAGGCTGTTCTCCTGGTCTACCCGAGACCAATTTCAGCAAATTTCTTGGGTTTCTTTGATGAACGAACGCCCTCACTCTCTCACTCACTCTCCCTCAGCGAACCGGCGAGAAGAAACAAGGTTTCTTTACCCGCCTCAATAGGTACTGTGTAGCCGCGCCTTGGAGGAAGTATCTTCTAGCCCGCGAGACCAATAGAGATAACGTCCTTGTGATCTGATTTGAGGTCCTAACAGCCAGCTACTGGATCATCCTGTGGCAAGCCTCGTACATGTACTGGGATACAGCATGACCGGGCCTCGGTAGAAGGAAGGAAAGAAGGAAGGCGCCAGGAAATTCGGTCTGACGTGAGGCGCCCGTGCGTCATGCCGAAGCTGCAAGAGCTTGTCTGTCAAAACTATCCTTTGGCCACGCCGCGGTGGTTCGAAAGAAATTGCCCGTTGCTGGCTTTGCCTCAGTCTCCTCACCCTACTCACTGTGTACTGAAGAAGAGCCTTGAGTTTTGGCTTCCTCTGAATTTGTGCCTAGTTCACCCGACTGTGCCTACCCCTCACGAGTTCTGCGCCTCTGCCATTGTCTGATCTGAGAAAAAGGGCGGGCGGCACTTGCGGCGTCGGCAGCTGCAGCAACCATCCGGCCAGCCAGCCTCGCAAGTGGCAGGTGTGGCTTGTCTGTGCGATCCGTCTGATTTGCATTTGCGCCTGCCAATCACTTTTTTGGCTCTTGTTTCTCCTTGCCATGCTTCTTCGCATTCGCTCGTTCATCCGTTGGACTTCCACTCTGCGCTTGGACCTTCACATCCCTTTCCACCGTCCTCAACGCTTCCAGTACAGTAGCTTTCACTGTTGGCTCGGCCTCCAACGATCAACACAGCTTCAACGTCGAAGTGCCACAGCGATCCAAGGAGCTCACTCGGCACTCTCACTTCCACACGGCAAGCACGGAAAGGCAGTCCGCGATCGCTTTCCTCTTCACATTACACAGAGCTCATCGCCATTGCTATTTCGATCGGCCACCGTATTCGGCTCAACAGGTCTGCATGTCGTCGACCACTCTCGTCATGAATGCATAAACCTTAATCTTGCTTTTCTCGCCAAACGCGCCGCTTCACCTCGTACGCACCGAGCAAGTGCCGGATCTTCGCGACCTTCGCCTTCTCTTTGCTCTTTCTTCGCCGCGACTTCCATCAGCTTCGTTCTATCGTAGTTCATATTCAAGCCTTTCACCTGGTCTCGCAATTGGCAGCTCGCAGTCGATCCAGCTACGACGCATTTCGATCATCTAGACTCCGCCGCTTGCATGTATCGATCAGATCAACCTGAAACGCATCGCGACAAGACTGGTTCGTCGATTCCACGCCGATAGCCAAACTTTGGCACCTACGCATCGCAGCGGAAAGCTTCCCACCCAATTTTGCCATTCGATCGTCCTCGTCCGTCTTTGCCGACATCATGCACGGCGCCGAGCCATCTGCATCCGCAGCTGCGGCGGCCGCACCATCCTCTTCTTCCTCTCTTGCTGTCGGATCGCAGTCTGATCTCCAGCGCAAGCCTACTTGGGCTCAGATCAGCTTCGACGATGGCTTCGACCTCAACCTTGGCGCCACGTCTATGCGCTCCGTTGCTCAGAACGGCGACGCTCCGATGGGTCCACAGACAACCACACAGTACCAGTCAAAAGGTTAGTAGCATCGTAGTGTCTTCTCTGTCATCTTCTCTTCTCCGGGTCGGCACCATACTGACCTTGCTCGCTCATGCTCTCGCACGCTCCCTGCACAACGTGACACAGCCGCCGCCCCGCCAGCTTCTTCTCATCCGGATACAGCGATACCTGTGCACCCACATGCTAGCCCGCCTGTACAGCACAGCGAGAGGCTCGCAGCCAGCCCCGCGTCCACCAACAAGGCACTTCCGCAAGTCCCTTCGCTTTTCGGCACACCTTTGGACAACCCCAGCACTGCAGTCCCAAATCGACCTCTGCCAACATCCGAGTCGCAGACTGCAAGTGCTTCCCCTCTCACTTCTAGCAATCTGGCGAGCGACGTCCATTCTCGTGTACCTTCGTCCCAGGATGGCGCACCTACACCCAAGCCGCCCAGCACACCAAAAGGAAGGGCATCCGCTTCACCCGTCGTAACAGCCGCCACTCCCAAGCAGCCCCAGTATGCGAGTCCTGCCGTCTCAAACAATGCAACACCTGTGGCCACTCGACCTCCATCCAGCGGTGGGCCTGCTTGGGACCGTCCAGCACGGCCATCACCGCCTCGCCCCGTCTCCTCCGCCGACGCTTACATGCAGCCCGTCGAGACGCTCCAGTCCGAGACCTCGAGTCGCGCAGGCACCGCAATGAGCCATCTCAGCGGCTCCAACTGGATGCACGACGGTCCTAGCAACCGCAGCAGTCTCGGCACCACTGCGAGCGCCCCTCTCAACTCTACAAAGCGTGCCTCGGTACTGTCGTTCCAGACCGCCAACAGCGCCGGCTTCACCAGCGGCGACGAAGCCCGATACTCTGACAGAGAGGATGCCGCGGATGAGACCCTCGTTGCACCTAGCTTCGGTGCTGCCAACGCTGCTGCATCACAATCTAATCAAGTACGCCCGTGGTTCGACCGTGACATCTCGAGCTCTACAGCTACACCCAACGAGCGTAGCATTCCCGGCGGCTTGCCCGGCTCGTTCTGGGACGACACTTCCTCGCAGCCATCCGTCGGTCCCACCGTGCCGACAGCTGCTGCAGCAGCGCAACAGACTACAGACTCATCAACAGGCGCCGTGCGCTCGGATGCCGCCGATGTGCTCACCAATCACGAAAATGCCAAGGCCGACCAAGTTCGGGACATCCGCAACCTGGCTGTCACAGAGCCGGAATCGATCTTGACACCCATCAACACGCAGGGTTTGGCGCATGCGTCGTCCAGCGGTCCCCTCTCGTCCACCACCATCGCTGCTCCGTCTGACGAGACCACACAGGCAATGCGTCGCTCGCCCGAACTTGGTCGAGATCGACGACCCTCTGCGCCGTTCCCTCAGGACAATGCGCCGCTCCCACCTGCCAAGGATGCGCGGTCAAACCAGCCCTCGATTTCTTTCGACCAGAGACAGGATCCTGCGGTATCCCTGGCTGCTGCGGACAACGTCGTACCGCCACCTCTGCCAGTTGCATCGGTCGACAAGCAGCCACCGCTTGCCTCAGAGATGCTTATGACCGGACCCGCAGACCACAAGCCCGTCTCGGACTATCGCAAGAAGCCTCTTGCCGACATCTCTCCGGCTCAAAAGGCTGCCGGACTTGCCCATCTTCAGTCGCAAGCAAAAGCAGCCAAGCAGCCGGACGCCCATGTTTCGCACGCACCACCTCAACCACCACCCTCCGACCCGCCGCCCGAGGCACCGCCCATTCCGGTCCTGGAACGTGCTCGTCGCAAGTCGAACGCCAGTCTAACCGCTAATGTGGCGCTGGCACAGGCCGATTCTTCTGGTGCGCCAGGCTTGTCCAGAGGTGTTTCCGATGACCGACCTGATACGCCCAGTGCCGACAGCATTTCCGCAGAGTCGAGCGCTCCGCCTGACGGCGAGGTTGAGGCACGTGCAGAGTGGGAACGTCGGCGCAGGATGAAGCGCAAGAACGGCAAGAAGCAGACCGACACTGCCAAGGTGCAGAAGGGTCGTTCGGATGGTTTCCAGCTCAAACCTTTGCAGCTCGTCCCCGCCGACAACATCAACGGCTTCGCTGATCGAAATGGGGGGATCAGATCAGCCGCGCGTGGCGACGGCGATCGAAGCACCGCCGCGACGGCACCTACACAAGCGGATGGGTCCAAGCAGATATACAGCACACAGCAGCTGCAGAAGTTGCAGGCCCGCGAACAGAGGAGAAGCGTTGGTGCTTTCAGTGCCGCCATGGCCGCCGCCAACGTCGTCTCGAGTGGCAGCAATGGACCGTATCCCATCTTTGCCTCGCCCAACACAGGTCCGCAAAAGGTCGGGTCCAGACAGTATCCGGGTCTGATGGCTCAACGAAGTCTCGTACCGCCCTTTGAGCTTCAACATCGTCCAGATGGCCTGCCGTCCGGTCTGATCGGTCCAGACGGTGTGCGAAGAAGTCTCAACGATCCCGAGGTCTGTCTCGAGTGCATGATGCGAGACGAAGACATGATCGACATTCGCGTGGTCGGCGACGGCATCTGGGAACGCGAAAGTGACAGGGAGTTTGAGGAGGCGGTCAGGCTCGAGGCGGAGGAGGCAGCCGGCTCCACTGGGATCAATGGCCCAAGCGGCAGTAGCGGTCACGGTGACAGTATCGGAAGCCATCGCGATTCTCGAGGCTCCCGTCGACCACGAAAGAGGCTCGGCAAGGGCGAAGCGTTAACAGTGGAGCGACTCAAGCTCCACACGCAGATGAACCCGCCTGCCTCGTCATTCCGATGGCGGACGCTGCAGACCTTCTTGGCAGTGCAAGCCAAGTACATCGCCATGGAGCAGCAGAGGATGCGGCACGAGGCCGACAAGAGGGCCCGGCAGACCTCCGAGTCGATCAGCAGCCGCGGCAGCATGATCGTGCTGGACGCACCCGCCTCCGTGCAGCAACCCGAGCGCAATCTTTCCTCACCCTTTGCGCCGCCTCGCGAAGCATCGTCTGCCGCCGTCGCCCCCTCACGCCAGTCGATGCTGCAAACATCGACAGACGAAGGCGGCTTGACGCTGCAGCAGAAGCAAGATAAGGAGCGCGACGTCGCAGCAGCGCAAGCAGCCCGCAAGAAGATGACGGGTGGTGCTGCGCCTGCTGCTGCTCCACCGATGACCACGCCGCCGCTCGGCCTGCCTGCGTATCCGGTCACGCCGCTGCAGACGCGTACGCTTGCCAAGGCGATGCCCGCCCGCTCTGGTTCCGATCCGGAGGAGCAGTTGGGCGGTCCTGCCGTCACTGGCGGCGTGGTGACTCCCATCAGCGGTCGACGAGCACCCTTCGCTTCGGCTCAAGCGGTGAAAGCTTCGAGCGTCCAGGACTTGCGTGCGGCCGCCGACGCTTCTCGATCCGCGTCCACCGGGTACCCTCCCAGCCCGGCAGACAGCCTCATGCCTCCTTCCAGATCGGTCATGGGCACGTCTCCCTCCGGTACACCCTCGCGCCTCGCCTCTCGCTCTGGCGCATCTCAGCTGTCGCTCATGCACAGCGGCTCGATGATCGACATGCACGTCGCCCAGGAAGACCGTGCCGAGCATCGCATCAATCAGACTGGCTTCCTTCCAGGCACTCCCATTGGTGTCGAATCGCCTGCTGCGCTCAATCGCTCCTTTTACGGATTCCCCGGCGACGGCGATTCTTCGGTGCCCGATGCAACGGCCTTTGAGCGATCGCGCATGGTGTCAAGCGATGGCTACGTCAACCCAATGGAGGCAGGGCCGCGTGGTCTGGACATGGAACGCGACGACAGTGCGCAGCGCAAGAAGAAGGGCTTCCGCGGCTTGTTCTCCAAGCTCACGGGCAGCAGCGGCGGTCTCAGCCGGGAAGACTCGGCAGGCGCAACAGGGGCTGGCAGTCTGAACGGCAGCATCGCCAGTCGCAACGCCAGCAAGCGTTCGCAGGGCTCTGGGAACGGGAGCCCTGGCGCACGAAAGAACTCGTTCAGCGCCGACCGCTCGCTCGATGCTGTCAGCCCGTCGCTCAATGGCATGCTGGGCAAGGCTCGCATGTCGACCTCATCCTTGTTCCGCAACGGTGCTGACGGTGACTCTGGTCCAAAGGCACGAACGCAGCGCAGCGGAAGCAATTCGCTGTTCCAAAACCCGCCGGGCATGGCGAGCCAGAACAGCCTTGACCTCGGACCCTTCCAACCAGCCTCGCCCCAGTCGAATGCATACGCGAGCGTTAATGGTCGCGTGATGCCAGCGTCACCGCTTCAGCAGCAGCATCTTCAGAATGCAGCGGCGATGGATCCAGCAAGGATGAGAAAGGCGTCGAATCCATTGATGGAGAAGTACCTCAACTCGCCCTCGCCACAGACGCTGGCCTCGCCCGTCTCGGGCGGCATGCCGATGTCGCAGCCATCGCCCGGTTACGGCATGACTGGCGAACGTGGTACAGTGCACTCGAGCGACGTGCGAAATGGTCGCATGTCGAGCTTTGCCAGCATGCGAGATCTGCGACCATCGGTGCTCCAATCGATTCCCGACAGCGATCAGCACGCAGACGATACGGTCGCGCAGCAACCGTTGCGATTCAGCGGTACAAGCGCGAGCTCGCGCAAAGAGTTGCCTTCCATGCCGTCTGCAGCCGACGAACGCGACCATCAGCGGATAGGAACGAGCGGAAGCGGAAGCGGCGGAGGAGTGAGAAGCTCGATGGTCGACTCGGTCTCTTCGGCATCCCGATCTCCTGGTCTCGCCCCGTCACTGGTGATGACGCGCCCGGACGGCAGCGGGCGAGCGGAATACGCAGGGCGCGCAAGCATGCAAGGGTCGAGGAGCGCAAGGCCGGAGCCGCCGAGCATCAACGCGGATGTGGGGTATGGAACAATCCCGGACGATGCATCGGTGGGCAGTGCTGGACCTGCACGACCGCCCAAGAATCCACGTCGACCTGATGGAGCGCTCAATTCGCCGAGCTTTGTGGATGTCATCGCCGGCTACGACGGTCTAGCACCACCTCGACGAGACTTCCCTCAGCAGGGACGATCTAGATCCGATGCTTATACTGGAGTGATGGGATCTCCATCCAGCGCCGAGAAGACCAAGAAGTCGATCTTCCGACTGCCGTTTGGGCGCAAGAGGCGCGAATCGACGATGGCGGCGCCCATCGACGGCACCAGACCGTCGATTGTGGTCGGCGGCGGCGCTGACGGGTTCGACGCGGGCCCAGCAGCACCACCTCGATCGACCAGCAGCTCGTTCTTGCCCAGGTTGCTGCCGCGCAAGAGCTTCTCTGGACTGGGCGTGCCACGCGCGAGCTTCCAGACGGAACGGCAGCGCGTTCTCTCCTCGCCTGCTCCTGATGCATCGCTGGGTCGAGCACCACCTCGCAGCCAGAGTGCGTTCGGAATGGCTCCGACGAAACGCTTCATGTCGATGGATATCCCGCGTCGATCGATGAACGTCGGTCGCGCTTCGGCTCGCAACAGGCTGAGCACGGTGCAGTACGGCGCGGATGAGGACGAGGACGAGGACGAAGACGAGGATGACGAGATGGAGCGCGAGCCAGGGTACGAGGCCGAGTTCGAAAGGTACGCTCAAGAAGCTGCCGAAGAGCGATACCTCAACACGGGCGCACGCGGCGGCAGGGACGTGAGCTTTGGAAGGAAGAGTCTCAACTTGCTCAGGGATGGGTTCAGGATGCCTTTGCGCGCTGTCAGTGGTGAACAGAAGAAGTAGCCCTGATGGCGAGGCGTTTCAGAGCCTACTTTTCATGTCAAGCTTCGGGATGCAGCAGCGTATGCTAGTAGAGCCTGTCCGCTTCACGCGCGATAGAATGCAGACTCCGTCATGGGCAATGGCTCACTTTACCTCGTACGTTGTTTGCGATCGTGCGCCTGCGATGGTGACCGTGCTGTCCATCTTCCTGCATGAGCTTAGCATTACGTGATGTTGATATGAAGGCAAACGGTGGTGGAATCACGTGATGTACAGTAAGACGCGCCTAACCGTTTTGATTTTTCAAAGAAAAGATTTATCCTTCATGGCCAGAGAGCGCATCGCTGTTGCACTGAGAATCTCGGGAGAATGGAGAAAATCCACCAAAAAAAAAGAAAAAGAAAAAAGAAAAGAAGATCAAGGTCACGCGCGTGTGTGTGTGAAGGGTGTGTTGATTATTGCTAACCCCACGCGAGCTTGTTCTGTTCCGCGGCCGTGCAGCCTCCACTCTCTCTCTCTCTCTCTTAGCTTCCAAGACTCCTCTTCATCGTTCGAGCATCCTTCATATCCAGCTTTTCTCTAGACATACACAACGCCTAACGATCGACAAATACATACATCACAAACAGCCACGACTTGACTAGCGTTGGCATACTCGTTGATCCACCACTGAAGACGCACAAAGGGGAAGGATGCTGGCCAAATCGCTCTCCAGCGACTCCAAGATCACCATCACATCCGTCTCCGATCTCCATTCACACTTCGACGAGCTCTTTACCGACCTCTTCGCTGCCGAAACAGAGCATACGTGGCAGAAGATCGAACGTGCACTGCTTCACATCCAGGCCATCACACGAGGAGGTGCCACCAAATACCCGGAATTCGTATCTCTCCTCAAAGATGCAGCGGATCCCATCAACAATGCATTGCTCTCGGAGAGGACCAAGCTGTCGGGGACGGCGGGGGATCTGTTGAACTCGATCGCTCCGAGGATGGCAGAGAGGTTCGAACCGTTGGTCGGGATGTTCGTACCGACGCTGCTGTTGATCTGCGCAAGGACGAATAAGATCGCGGTGAAGCGCGCGGAAAAGTCGTTGCATTTCATCGTGCGACATTGCAGAGCGCCAGGCGTGGTGGGGTATCTGAAGGAGGCGGTGAGGGACAAGAGTCAAGGATTGAGGGCTGTTGCGGTGGGGACGTTGGTGTTGGTCTTGGAGTGCACCGAGAAGGAGAGGTTGACGAGGAGGGTGGGTGACATCGAAGCGTGCATCAAGAGCGGTGCTACGGATAGCCATGCGGAGGTGAGACAGCTGACAAAGAGGCTGTTCGAGCTGTACGTGGAGGTATGGCCGGAGAGGGTGGAGCAGTTTACCAAGCCCATGACGCCGACGATCAGGAGGTACCTGTCCTTGCCCAAGACCGGTGCGTTGCAGGTCGAGATCCCTCCGCTGACGGAAGCACCAGCGAGATCAACAACGCACGCATCACGACCACCAACAACGACACACCACACCGTTCGTCACGAAGAAGCGCTTCTTCCAACATCACACGCTCAGCAGCCACCACGCACAACCCCTGCATACAACTTTTTCCCCGACCTCGCCAAATCATCGGCATCTTCCTCCGCAGCATCTACATCGAAACCTCCAGCCTTTGCCATGAACGACCCATCCTACGCCAAGCGCGGTCTCTTTGCAGATCAGATCGCAGCAGCACGAAACGCACGTCTCGCCCGCATGCCCTCCTTCAACTTTGACGACGTCTCCAAACCACCTGCAGAGAGCGGTCCTTCGATGAAGAGGCAGCCGAGTTTCGACCAGCTGCGCTCTCAACCACCTACAGCACCGGGAACGACGTTCCGCGTGCCTAGATTCGATGTGGTCGTCGCACCACCTAAGCAGGACAGCAACGATGGTCGTCCTCGAAGCGGGCATAGCAACGAAGCCGCTTACATGCATCGAGACATCAACGCCAACATGCCATCCTTTGCAGCTGCTTCCGGGTTGCACGGCAAGAGCGCGCTGCTGGCTGCCTACAAGCAAGCGTTTGTCGTCGAACCTCTTGCTGCAAAGACGACCCACGACCGTCAGCATCGAGACAGATCCGACAAGAAGCACAGCGACAAGAGACGCGAAAAGACCGTCACTGTACGATTCGAGCCCGAGTCCACCGACAAGAACAACGAAGGTGCGCTCGCGGTAGACAGCGAAACGGAAGCGTTGCGCCGCTCAAAGTCCGCACCCTCCATCGCCGCCCAGGCCAGCAACGACGCAGACAGCCCGACAGGTCCCACGCGACCGACCAAAGCTTCCCAGAACAAACACGCAGAATGGGAAGACTCCGACTCGGACAGCGATCAACGCCCCCACACGCCGCCGGAACGCATGCTGCACACGCAAACGCCGAGAACGGGTGTCAAGGCGAGCAGGGTGCCCGCACAGCGAGTCGCAGCGCCATCGGCGGTCAAGGTGTCGGCGATGCGCGTTGCCGTGCCTACGCCGTCTGCGAAGATCGCGGCGGGGAGGGTGGTGGTTGGCGGACAGGTGGATTCGGTCGAGTCGAGCCCTGTGCCAAAGTCGAAGGTCGAGAGTCGCACGCCGCGAGCCAACAAGGTTGAGGTTGTGGTCGTCACTTCAGTCGACACGGAAGACGGACAGACACAGGCGGCAGATGGAAACAAGGAGGTGCCAGAGGTGGAGGAAGTCAAGAAGGCGGAAGAGCTTGCTTCGACGGCAAAGAAGCAAGAACCCGTCAAGAAGGAGTCTTCAGCACCAGCTGTTGTCAAGAGACCCGCTAGCGCAACGGCACAGACCTCCAAGCCAACGGTGAAGCCCGTAGCAGCCAGGCCGGCTCCCTCTGCATCTCTGGCAGCGAAAGCTCGTCTCGAAGCTAGAGCAGCCGCCAAGCCCACTTCAACAACCGTGGATAGCAAAAAGGTCGTATCGAAGCCATCGGTTTCTGTGGCAAAGCCGGTGACCGTCCGGAAAGCCACAACCACCACCACCTCAACCAAAGCACCAGCTAAAACTTCCGCACCACCAGCCTCCTCCTCCACCACCAAAACGAGCAAACCGCTCGTCACCGCCAAACCACTCAGCTCCGCCACCACCTCCGCCATGGCACGAGCCAAACTCGCCGCTACCGCCGCTCCCAAACCATCCACCAGCGGCACGGCCACCGTTGCCAAGCCATCATCCACCACCACCAGCACCGCCACCACGAAGAAATCAACCGAGAGCGCACCTCGCTCATCGACGCTCACCGCATCCACCGCCTCGACGCGCAACAAAGTCGTCCCCGCAGCCGCGGCGAAAAGGTTCCAACCCAAGCCGACCGCCGCTTCGACCGCCGCAGCGGGTGCTGCGGCAGCAGCGGTAAGGCAGAAGAGCTCGATCGCAGCAGCGTTGGCGGCCAAGAGCAAGCTCGTGGGGGTCAGGGCGGGTGCGATGGGCAAAGAAAATGCGGTCAAGAAGGCCGGGGTGAGTATGGCGGTCAAGATCGAGAGGTGTAGGAGGATCTCGGCGGTAGCAGCAGGAGGAGGTGCGGGGAAGGATGCAGCTGAAGAACAAGACGTAGCGGTGGAGGAGACTGGAAAGAAGCGAGAAGGAGCAGAGGAGTCGGATGCGGAGAAGGAGGAGGTTGTGGAAGAAGGTCCAGTTGAGGCAGAGAAGGTGGTGGATGTTTCGGTGGAGACGGCGGCGGAGACAGAGGCTGTTGAACAGCAAGAGGCGAAAGCGGAAGCTGTCATGGACGACAGCGTCGAATCTACAGAGCTTGAGACCGAGCTTGAGGTCGATCAAGTGTCCGTAGAGCAGGTTGCTGCTCTGACGTCCGAGCTCGACGCTAGCGCATCGGAATCGCAGATCGATACTCCCGACGAAGCAGAGTCTATCGTCGACGAGTCGACCAACGAGACCGGGTCCGCAAACGCTTTCAGCCACGCCATCTCCTCACCGCCTAGAGTCGTCTCCACGCCCGTCAAAAGGGCTCTTCCTCCCGCCACCGCCGCACCTACCACACCCATCCGCACTCCACTCAGCAGCAAGGACAGCAACATCCCCAAACACACCCCTCTTGCCACCCCTTCCCCCGTCAAGCCCGCTGCGTCCCCGCTCCTCCCTCCTCCACCGTCAACACGCTCAACTGCTCCTCTCCTGTCCTCCCCACTGCGACGCCCAGCTCAACCAGTGCTGGTGCCGGTGCAGTTCGAGCCCGAATCGTCGTTCGAAGAGAGCGAATCCGAATCGGACGAGTCGACCGAAGAGCAGGAGCAGGTTGTTCAGCTGCACTTCGCAGCGAAGGGGAAGAGTCAGTTGCATCAGGTGGTTGGGGTTGGGGGAAAGCAGTTGGTGTTGGGGTTGGATTCGTCGGATGATTCTGGAAGGATGGAGGCTGGAGAGGCGGACGAGACTGTTCTATTGGAGTAAAATATTTATCATATTCACGAAAGCAATTCTTTACCACGAGCAGGATGACATATGTGAATGATAGTGAAGCTGCTCAGAGCCAGGCGAACATGCTGCTTTCGTGTGTGACGGACGACGATGGTGACAAAAAAGGTGATGGAAAAAGAGCGACGTTGTTACATCTTTGGCTAGAGATCCCGCTCGAAAAAGGAAAAATGAAAGCTCCACTTTTTCTCGTGTTGAATCACGCTGATCTGACGCCGATCTCCGCGGTGTCGATGCTTTTACGGAAGCAGAACGAGCGGACGTTCCCGAAGCTGAGAAGACTTTGCTGAAATCGCCGTTTTACTCCTTCCCACGATATCGCTCTTCATCCGACAGCCGCTGATCGCCAGCTGCTTGTGATCACAGCAGCAACGCATTCGCCATCGCCTATGCCCTAACAGCACCGGCGTACTATCGGACTCAGCCGTCGTCTTCTCTACTCTCGAGCTGCTCAGCGGACCGAACTTGTTGCAACCGAGGTCGCGTTTGGATGGCATCGCGCACCGTCGTCTCGTCGTGACCGCGCTCGCCATCATGTGGCCCACGGCCACCGCCGTCGTCGGCATCCGTTCCTGCGCTCGTGCTTCGGAGCTGAGGATATTGCTGGGATCCACGCGGTCAATATCGCGTCAAGCATCGTTCTCGACGCCGACCAGATCGATCGGCCATATTGGTCTTGTGAATCGTACTATTCTGGCGCCTTCCCTCGTTCCGACACCGCCGACCTTATCACGCACCTTCTATGCCTCTGCAGTCAAGCTCGACAAGACCGAGCCTGTCAAAGCGGCGCAGCCTTCCACACAGACGATAAAGGATGCTACCCACTCCGAGACAACGACAGCGAAGGATGACGAGGCATCGACGATACAGATGGGTGCTGCCGCATCATCAGGATCCCTGGCTTCCAGATTGGCAGCACGGGTAAGATCACTCCTGCAGGCGCAACTGGCGAAATCGACTCCCAAAAACAAGGACGGTACATCGTCGACTCCTACCACTTTCCCGGATCTCAGGCGTCTCTTTTCGCTGGCGATGCCTCAGAAGAAGAACATCCTCATCGCACTCGCCCTCCTCCTAGTCTCATCCTCCATCACCCTCACCGTTCCCTTCGCCATCGGTCGCCTCATCGACTTTTTCACCTCGGGTCAGAACGCGCTCTTCGGTCTCGGCTTCGGCACCGTCGCCGCGCTCATGCTCCTCATCTTTGCCATCGGCGCTTGCGCGAAAGCGGGCAGCAACATCCTGCTCGAGCTCTCCGGTGTGCGCGTCATCCAGGGCATTCGAAACCAAGCATACCGATCTGCACTTCGACAGGATGTCGAACTGGCTGACAAGGGTGCCGGTGACGTCGTGAGTCGACTCAGCGTCGATACCAACATCGTGGGAGAGTCGCTCACGTCGGACATTGGGGACGGTCTTCGTGCTGGTGCGACGGTGCTGTTTGCGGGTACGGCCATGTTCATGATCTCGTCGAAGTTGACGTTGCTCATGATGGCGGTGGTACCACCTGCTGCGATCGGCGCTGTGTTCTACGGTCGCTACCTACGCGATCTGACGCACAAGACGCAGGATGCCGTTGGGCAGATGACACGACTCGCGGAGGAGCGACTCTCCCCACCCGCCTTCCGCACGCTCACCGCCTTCAACACGCAACGTCAAGAGCTGCGTCGCTTCGACGACAAGATCGGCTCCATCGTCGATCTCCAGACCAAAGAGGCCTACGCCTCGGGCTTCTTCTACGCCGGCACCGGCTTCGTCGGCAACTGCGCCATCCTGACGCTGCTCACGTACGGCGGACACCTCGTGAGCCGCGCCGAGATTTCGGTGGGAGATCTGACGAGCCTGCTCATGTACACGGCGTACCTGGGAGGGGGGATGGTGAGCCTGACATCGTTCTTCGCTTCGTTGATGAAGGGGTTGGGTGCGGGAGCGAGGGTGTTCGAGCTGATCGATCGCGAGTCGAACGTTGCTCTGGGCAAGGGAGAGGTTCTGCAGGTGGCAGGCAGGCTGCCGGTGAGGTTCGAGGATGTTCACTTCACCTACCCTTCCCGACCGGAACAGCCGATCTTGCGAGGAGTGACGTTGGACATCGAACCCGGCCAATCCTACGCCTTGGTAGGTGGATCGGGTGCGGGCAAATCCTCCGTCCACTCGCTCCTGCTCCGTTTCTACGATCCCAACCAGGGTAAGATTTTGCTGGATGGTCGCGACCTCGCATCCTTCCGACCCGAAAGCGTTCGAAAGCACCTCGCGTTCGTCCCGCAGGAACCCATCCTGTTCGACGGCACGCTCGAGGAGAACATCAAGTACGGCACCCCCTCGGCCACGCGCGAGGACGTCGTGCTCGCAGCGCGCATGTCCGGCTGCGAATCCTTCATCGCGGAGATGCCGCGCGGACTCGATACGGTCATCGGCTCGCGTCAGCTGTCCGGTGGGCAACGGCAACGCATCGCCATCGCGCGAGCGCTGGTGCGCAAACCATCGATCTTGCTTCTGGACGAGGCGACGAGCGCGCTCGACAGCGCGTCCGAGTTGATGGTCAACAAGGCGATCGAAGAGATCATCAGGGAAGGGAAGATCACCGTGTGGATCGTCGCGCATCGGTTGTCGACGATCAGGAGCGCCAACAACATTCAGGTGCTGGAGAAGGGTAGAATTGTGGAGCAGGGCACGTTCGAGCAGCTGGATCGCCCGGGCAGTCGGTTCAGGAGCTTGATGGCGGCGCAGCTGGATGTGGGGGAGCAGCAGGACGAGGTGCAGGGGGACGCGGATGGCGGGCGCAGAAATATGGAGGTGAGTTAAGAGAATGTTATCCGGATCCACAACCCATCTCTCATATATACACAGACATACGGTTAGAAATCACAGCAGTTCAGTGTGTATCGCGTTGAAGGGCTGTGGATTCTTTTCAACCATGTCTACAAAAGAGACGGTGCGGTGTGAGATGGGAAGACGATGCAAGGCATGATCACCAGAACTGACCGAACACCTCGCCTCATTTCCATCTTGCTTGCACCAGTCATCCTCATCGAACACGAGCGTTTGGTCAGTCGGTCAGAAACGTTCCTTCCACAGCACCCGTCCGCACCACCAACGCTTCCACCCTTGCATTCCGACAACGGGCACCTGGAGCATCCGCTCCATCATCGATCCTCCATCCCACCCGACCACCTCCGACCTAACCGATGCGCAGCTGGACAAACTGCACCGCTTATCCGCCTTGATCCCTCCGCCGCTCAATAGCTCCGCCCGCTCGGCGCTAAAGCGCGACTTGCGTGTGCTGTTGAGCTTGGTCCAAGGTGTTCATTCCCACTCCAGTGCGGGGAGAGAGGGGACGGTGGTGGATGCCAGACCCTTGGTCGTTCACGATGGACGGTGGAACGTTACTATCCCTGACGACATCTCCGTGAAAGAGCAGCGGGTGGAGGAGGAGAACGGCAAGGAGGGGAGGAGAGTTCTCAATCGCGATTCCGAATTGCTCGCAAAGGTGGATGACGCGAGAAAGTACCAAGCGTACTTTGTAGTTGATCGAGCTTGAACCACACACACACACACACACACACCACTCGGCCCTACCACTTGCACATAGTTCTTGCATGCAATTCAATCACACATCACACCCGCTTGCACGCGGGGGGTTCCCCTTGGAACAGCGCAGAGATCCACGTGGTGACAGGAAAACCCCATCACGCTTGTCCCCTTTTGTCACCACCGGTGTCGCTTTGTTGGAACGTGAAAGGCCACACCCTCCCTTCCTGTGTGTCGGGGCGAAGCAACAACGATTCCTGGACGTCGTTTTGCCGACGCAATGAGACGGCCATGGTCTGGACGATTACGTTGCAGTCAGTCAGAGACTCTCACAGCAGCAAAGGGAAAAGAAAGGAGCAGCAACAAGCGACACCGTTGCTTGTGGGGCACACCTCCTTCTGTGTGCTGCGCAAAGCAGGAATGATACCAGACATTTCGCCAACGAGCTTCGATTTTTGAAAACAGGGGCAAGGCGATGGTCTGGAGGTCATGTTGCAGTCAATGAGAACGGCCACAGTCAACGCAGTGTAATGTACACATGCTGTCAAATTGAGCAAAGCAGAGCGAATTGAGTGAGAAGCGAAATCAAATACGGGTATCGTCAAGAGGAAAGGCGATTGTGTTGGGCGAAGCAGGAAACGACAAGGCAATCTCCCGGTCTCCGCGGTGACCAGCCTCGATTTTTCAGGCCAACAAGACAATGATGGCGTCGAGATGATGTTGCACTCAATGAGAAGCTCTCACAGCAGCGAGAGAGAACGGCCACAATCAACGCGATATAATGTACATATGCTGTCAAATTGAGCAAAGCAGAGCGATAACATAGAGTGTCCTTTTCAGAAAAATGAGATCAAATACGGGTATCGTCAAGAGCAAAGGCGACGGACAGGACGACGTTGGTAAACTCGTCCTGGTTGTCAAACAGGGTAGCTGCCCAGGGTAGGTCGCGCAGCTTGGATTCGGCCTCGGCGGTGGCAGTTGCGGCGGCAAACGTGTCTTTGCGGTACTGTACGAGCTGGCGTAGTGTCGGTCGCACAAAGGGCGCGCCTGCCTCGGTGAGAACGTTTTGGTTGGCGTGATGGGCCTGGAGCCAGTCGGCTTCGTTGTCGGCCTCGAACTCGCCAGCTCCCGCAGGAAGCGGGATGTCTAGGATGAGCGAACACCCAGCCAGGCGCTCTCGTGCGTTGCCTCCGTTTTCTCGGAAGCGTTGCAAGACGAGGAGCGAGTACGATGCAAACAGCGTGCGGATCATGGTCTCGATCCATCCAAAGGTGGCAAGACTCGGTGTGACTGTGCCGGATGCCGACTCGCCGGCCCGCATCGTGTGCGCAAGCAGCGACTGCGACAGCTCCGAGAGCACCACGAGCGCCCGATCCAGCAGCGCTGCATCGATGTGATCCGTGATAGCCGGCTCGTCGGTGAAGACGATCAGCACAAGATACATCCACAGCGACGCGACCGCTCCGAACACAGCGACGGGGTCCGAGTCAGGCTTCTTGAGCTCAGCCTCTGAGGAGAGCGTCAGGCGAATCTGCTCCGAGATGAGCCTCCAAACGAGACCTTGGCTGGCGGGCAAACGGACATAGTAGCCGGCAAGGATGGAACGAGCGCAGGCCAGAGACTCTGGAACCCGTACACGATTCTCCTGCAGCCACTTTCGATGGATGAAAGGCGGGATGGGTGCCGTGGGATCCGTGAGAGCCATCAAAGCTGGATACGAGACAAAGTGGGCGGCGCTGGCCTGCGCGATCGAGGCGGCCACTTCACCGTTTTGATCGGGCTGGATCCACCACTGCTTTGCGCTGGGCAGCTGAGGCGCGGGCAGGACGAGCTGGCCATTGCAGTCGTAGCGAGACTGAGGTGGCGTGGTGGAATCCGACAAAGAGCGACTAAGTGGATGCGAAGCCGAATTCGCCGCCCCTCCCGAGGGATGCGACTCTTGAAAGGCGGGAAGGAAGCCCGGGTTAATCGAAAGACCCATGGTCTGAGCGAGCGAGGCCGCGAATTTGGCCGAGATGGGTGTATCGACTACAGGCGAGTGCGAGATGGCTGCAAAGTTGCCGCTGATGGCCGAATGCAGACTTGGACCCATACGGTAGAGCGGTGATGGGACAACAGGTTCTGCTAGCCAGCCAGAAAGATCCACCCCTTGCTGGAAGAGAGCCGAACGGATGGGGGAAGGTCCTGGCCACATGTTGCGATTGTTGAGATTCGCAGTGATGAGGGTCGGAGGCCTCGGTGGAGGCATCATGGCGTTGGCTGGTGTTTGGCGCAAGGACTGTGGAGCAAGAGAGGAACGCGCATTCCACGAAGCGTGCATGTTGGTGTCATCAACGAGGGTATCTTCGAGCGCTTCTGGCAGACTGGCGGTTCTGTGACGGCTGTGAGAATCGGCTAGGAAGTTGTTGTTGTTGACCATGGCTTGCATCCTGGTAGGATCCGAGGTGGTATGGGTGAGGTTGTGATTAAGCCGCACGATCGGAGTCTCCTCTCCCTCTTCGTTGGCGAAGGCCATGCTGGAACGATTCATGTTGGTGACGATAGAGCCGGTGTTGGTGCGAGAAAATCCGCTCGACTTGCTGGAATTCATCCTTTGTGGGCCTGGAGCAACGTCGGATTCGAGGTTGAGGTCGTGGAACGAGCGAGGTGAATCGGTGCGGGCAGGCGGGCCCATCGCAGCAAAAGACGGGCCTGAGATGCTGAAGTTGGCTAGGTTGGGAGGTGCAGAGTCGGGATGCTCTGGCAAGCTGTGCTGCGGGCGGGGAGACCCGAAGGCAGATCCGGAAGCAGAAGAGCCGGGATCGTGCCATGACTGTGCCTCGCTGTCGCTCTGGCTATCGTAGTCGAGCTCGCCTTCGCGCTTGGCGTAGCTTGCGTGAGGAGTCATGAACGCGTTGGAGGAAACGTCGAAGCCAGGCGTGGGCATGGACCAAGGTGCACTGGACATGGTCTGGTTGAGTGGAGCGGCCGAGGACATGTGGGGTGTCATGGACTGCATCTGTGCATCCATTTGGGGCATGACGCCGACGTTGCGAGCCTTTCTAACATTGGGGTTGCCGGATCTGGGAGCATAGGTGCACTGCTTTCCTCGCGCACGGCATCGACCGCATATGGGGACCTCGAGATCACATCTTGCTTTGGATCTCGCGCATTCATAGCAGCTCTTTTGTCGATCGAACGAAGGTTGAGCAAGAGCTCTGGCCTCTCTTGCCAGATGTCGTCGGAGCAGATCATCGCGGGCAAATGCCTTGCCGCAGTTTGGGCAAGGGAACCCAGAGCCAGCGGAGGGGCCAGGACCGGATCGACCCGCTGAAGGACCGCTGAAGCTGCTGCTCCTGGAAGCATCAAAGGAGCCCGAAAAAGAATCGTGGTCGCTGAGCTGATCTGCGAGCGACGACGTCGAGGCCGAGGCGTGTGAGGATGCGTAAAAGGAATTCTGCCCCGTCGGAAGCTGCGCGAACTGAGCCGAATGCTGGTGCATAGGCATCCCCGACATGTTGGCAAAGCCGGTATGGGGATCGTTGATCGGAGTGAAGCCGCTGTTGCCCGCACTCATTCTCCTTCAGTTCGAGTCGACCATCGAGCGGCCGCGGACTGAAGTCAATGAGTCAAATTCGAGGTGAATGGCGCGTGCGTCAAGTTGCCCGCGGCACAAGCTGCGCACAGTCAGCAAAGCGGAGTCCCGGGCTTGCCTTGCTCGGAGCGGGACGTCGATCGGATCGGAGGAGCCGCAGGGACAACGAGGTAGGTGAAGGACGCCAATTCGAAACAAAGGTTGTGATGAGCTTCGAGCTTCGAGCTTAATTCGTCAGGTGAGAAAAAAATGGGAGCAAGATGCAGTCCAGAGTGTCGTTCGCGCCTCGATCTGGCGGCGTACTCGCAGAACTGGTGTGTCGAAGGGCGACGGACGGGCTCGGAAGGCAGTGTCGGTCCGGATCGTTGCTGGAGGAGGGGAGGAAGAAGGAGGGTAGGGGAATCCGGTTGAGCGCGGATGTGCAAGGCTGCGCTATTTGTGCAATGATGACCTTCCGGCAAGCTCCTGCGTTGTGGGGCCAGGCCAGGCCACGCCCACGACAACCGACCATCCAACTGCCTTCGAGGCGGGCACGAGCACAGGCACATGCGGGATGCGGCGCGCAGTGCTGTAGTCGTAGCAAGCCACAAAGAAATTAAACAAAAAAAAACCCCCGAGAAGAAGAAAGGAGGACAGGGAGGCAGAAGAGTGTTGCAGTATCGGCTCGGTTGCTCCGCATCGAACCAGTCATCTGCTGCCGCATTCCACGGACGATCAGGTGCTGCTTCAGCGGGCGGTAGACGTGGACGAGGCGTGTCTGTGTCTCATCGTCTCATGCACAGCGTTCGCATAACTCACACTTGGTGAAGGTCAAAATTTCTTTTGTATCTGCGTAGATGCGCATCTGCTGCCTTTCGCAGATCTGGTCAAAAGAAAAGTATTCTCTTGGAAAATAACGTCGTCACACCCGTGTCGGTGCCAAAGAAAGCCGTCGTGTATATCCCTGTTGAAATATGCAGCAAGGTACTGCCGATGCCTATTCTTCATGCTTCGATCACCGCCACATCTCCATCGTTCGCTTGCTCTGACATATTCAGCATGAAAGTGGTTCATGAATCAATGTAAGATGCTCTCCGCTCAACCCTTTGCTCGTGCGTCGGTGCGCGGATGAACACAAAACGCTCTGTTGTTACAGTAACCGTCTGTGTAAGTCACATCAGATGGACTTTTTGCTGTCTTTTGAAGATTGGTGAATCTCGATGCTACCGCCCCCTTTGCGACCTACATTACGATTAAATTGTCCTCCCTTTTGCCTCGAGTCTCTTGCCATGGTCAATTCGGCGTTCCTGGCAAGAGCAGGGCGAGTTGGAATGGGCCTTCAAGCGATCTCGGATCTTGGAAGGAATGTGAGACCCACCCCTGTCGGTGTTTCCGCCGACACGGTATCATCGTTGTTTCTTATGTTCGTGCACGATAACGAGGCCATTCGAGCGACCGGGCTTCGCATGTGCCCGCTTGATCACCGCTTCGTCCAACGTCTCCTCGATAACGAGATTAGGTGCTCCTTCGGAATTGTCCAGGGTGGATCCTTTCCTTTTGTTTTTCTAAAAAAAAAAATTGGCGGAATGACAGATGACATGCAGGTGGAGATGCAGGGCGTGCATGGCGAGTGGCCTCTGCTGCACGACTTATCCGGCCCACGAGCCCGTGGACGGGTTTCCGACGACCAAGTCCGGGAGAGAGTCTTCCTTCGGCTCGGTAAATAGCGTAGCGAAGGCGGCAAGACAAGAAGGTGTGGACCAGACTCGCCCTTCTCGAAAATCGGAATCCAGAATCGACTTTGTTTGTCCCTCTCGAGACTGCGACTCGCACCTTCGGGACCCCCCCCCCCTCC